CAAATAATAAATTCAGGGTGTGCGAGTGCACACCCTGCTCCTCCCAAATGGCGCCCATGATAATTGTAGACAATCCACTTGTATTGCTTGTATCAAAATAGGAAATTATGTCTACCGCAAATATGATCTAAAAATCGTAAAGTGAGTGTATGCCTATTATATTAACTGCTTGTACCTCCCAAGAGAGTTAGTATGACACAATTTGGGTATTTGCCAATTGAGTATATTATTTTTCAAGAGATTTTGATATCTAAATCCAATTTTCTGGTCTACTTTGAACTTGTTTTAAAATGTTGTTTATACTTTAAAAAAATTGGTTTGTTTCGTACATTTAATTTTCACCATACAATTCCCTTACAATTATAAAAAAGAATAAAAAAAAAAAAAGAAAAGATCTTGAGTTTAAAGATCTCTTCTAGATTATCCATCATAATTAAAAACAAGAAAAAATCGAGTGAATTTATAATTTATGTTTCTCCCTCTCAATCCTTGTAAAATTGTAACCTATATTAATAATTTGGAACCGAATTATGGTTTAGAACAGTGGTTCTCAACCGTGGTGACATGGATCCAACGTAGGGGTGAAAAGAGTATTGTATTTGTTTATATACATACATTATTATTATTTTGATGTTAGGGATACGTAGTATTGGGCTGTCGTGGATGAGGGTGACATGAATCCAAAAAGGTTGAGAACCACTGGTATAGAAGAATGTATGTAAAACAGTTCCTAACTATATAGATTGAGTTCTAAAAAGTTATGGCCTGTAGCTCATTTTTTTCTACATTGAAGAATTAAGAAAAAAAAAATTCTGGAAGTTACTGTTATTGTAATGTTGTACTGTAATAGATGTTGACTGTTGAATTTATCTAATTATATTTTAAGACTATTTAGTAAGGTACTAATGCTGAGCACTAACTAGTAAATAGTTAGAAAGTTAGAATTTAATATTTTTGATACATTTTAACTTAATTATTTATTTTGTTAAGTAGCTTATTTGCGTTACGCATTATTTGCGTTTCACTAGTAATTAAAAAAAAAAAATTAACTTATTCAAAAGATTTTATCAGTGAACACTATTCACGAAAATTTTCAAAGATTGTCAAATCCCAAAAATTCAAATATTGAACTAACACTTTTCTTAAAATTGAATCGATGTTTGTGTAAATTAATGTAATATCATATAGAATATAAGTTATGAGGTTTTATTTTGTTTTTTCTATGGTATAAAAATATTTTTTAAATTGTTGATAACTCGGTTGGTGTATTAATCAATAAACTGAATAAACTTATAATATAATTATGTTACTGTACTCTTTATGTAGTTAAAATACAGGACAAGAAACTTTGATAGAAAACAATTAAATTTTACAAATTATAAATTATCACTATTTTGCCCAGCATTGCTAGGTACTATAGAAATCGTTACCACTGATAAAAAATAGATTTTAGATTATAAATAACCAATTTATTAAATAATTGGATGGAAATAATGAATAATCCAAAACAATCATATTATATTGTATAATTATATTATGTAATAACATTTAAAAATTATATTTATTTATACAAAACTGTCTTTTTTTTTTTTTGGGGGCAATTATTAAAAATTTTCTCAACGAATGCTAACAACAAGCGCGTTTGCCTAAAGTACGTGTACAATATACAACCATGTTTACGGTTTTTTTTTTATAGAAATAGTAGTCTCACAATAATTGGTTGGACTGTATAATAATGATAATAATAATAATAACATGGTCTTATAATATATAATTACCTAATTATACTAAGTTACCAATAATATTCATAAACGAATTGTAATAAAAATAATAATTATTAATAATAGTATCTATCTATAATAATAACGGTTCAATCACAGGAGAAACTTATATTTTTTTTATGAACCTTTTTATTACGAGGGGAGATGTGGAGAATAAAAACATTTTTTCCTCTACTTAAATTATTAAAATATTTATGCAATGCGGATATACAATGTATATGAATGTAGTTACAACGTGATTTCGTTTTTCTTTAGAATATCTATGACCCRAATCATAATGTGTATGTACAAAAAGATTTTTCAATACATAATAAATAAATGATTGTATAATAAACAATAGTTTCGAATCGTTATATTTCAAAATTCAAATATATTACATGTACTCAAACACCGTCTACAAAATATTACCAAAGCTACTTAATATTTATCATTTGTCTACAAAATTTAATAGAAAAAAAAACAATAGTAATACATTTCAATGCACTTATGCGTAAAAGTAATTGCCTATAAATCAAGTTTTTAGTCAATATTTGTTTTTTTATGTCCCCTTCCCCCCACAAGTGTACCGCACTTGAATTTGATTGTAAGTGTGTCGTGATCATGAATTTGATTTTTCTGTGCGCGAAACGCGCAGTGGATAACTGGACAAGTACGGTAAAAATAATACCTAAAATATTAATAAATAATAATAATAATTCGAAATATCGGTAAAATATTATCCTTGGAGTACCTATATACAATGACTATAAATATCATACCAACAGAAAATAATATAATATAAGGTCCAGCTGTGTCCTATTTTAATTTTAAGATAAATTTATGTAGTGTTCCCATGGAGGTTTTCTATGTAAGCATAAATGTATATAATTATGCGGGAACGCCCAAATACGGTATAATAATTATAATAGTACAAAGAACCTATTAAAATACTGTAAATCAATTTGAAATTTTTGCGAGGGACGACAAATGAGGTATGGCTGAKTATGGGTTGAAAGTGTTTCGAGGGAATCATTTCATTATTTCGAATTATTATCTTTTTTAGTCCGAAGTTTGAATTATTGTACATAACACTTAACTGAGACATTCTATATATAATATATTATAACAAACAATTATATAAAAATTGTCAAAGATATGTTTTCTATTCGTTAATAATACATAATAATATAAGTAGTAATAATAGCATAATTGTACAGTAATTATAATAATAATAAGTCAGTTTGAGTGATACAAAGAGCTGGATGGAGAGAGAATGAGAGAAAGTAGAGTAGTACTTACAGTGTTTTTGCGTATATAACATTACACTCTACTAAGATATTTACCTTATTAGATATAAGCGGGGGAATAAGATTATAGGAATAATTATCATAATAATAATAATTAGATGTTAAACAAAAGTTATATACTTAAGAAATAGGCAGTCTCATAGAAAATCACTAATCAATATCTAAAGACTAGACATAAAATATAATATGATTTACACATAATTTTACGAACTTAGATATTAATATCATACTTGGACGATTTTGATTTTAAATTTTCTAGAAAAAAAAAATAACTCGATACAAAATCAAATATTCGCGTAATATTATAATATTTTAGTACAAAGATTAATTTTACTATATGGTATATTAATATAATATTATTCATGTACAACGTGTGATCCATTTAACGGGCTACACTAATACTTTTCAAGTAATTTTTAGTTTGAAAATGTTTTTTTTCATAGTTTGAAGTATTTCGGTATTTTTACTACAAATATTTAGGATACTATTAAAATCTAAAAACACAAGAACTATTTAAAAAAAAAAAATTAAAAAAGATATCGTCGCTATTAAAATGTACCACCCTCTATAATATATATATATACATACTCACACACACACATATTTATTATATACCTAATTAGATATATACGATTATTAAGGCGATAGATATCTAAAAATTTGACTTTATCACAGATTCGACGTATAGCATAAAAATATTATATTAATCAATATACTTTCACTAGGAAGGTAATATGTAATGAATAAATTTGGCTATTACATTATACTATATTTTATACTTAATAAACGAAAATAAACGTTCAATGACCCAATAATATTTATTGTTATTATTTTTATAATAACTACCCACGTCATTATTACAAAAACTAAATATTGTTCGCATGAGATAAAAGTACTGCATCCTACCAGTGATTGCGATTTGCGTGATGCTTAGCAAGGTTTTTTACTGCACATAGGCAGGCCGAGCAAAATTAAATGAATTTAAAAAAGAAAAACCTACTTTATCATTTTATGAATATTATGACCATATCAGTTGAAAACATGGCTTAAGTAGGAATTGTGCTATTATTTCGATGCTGCAATCCATGTTTTATTTGTATTACAACTGCGATGGTTTTGACGGAATCGCGTATAGCCTATTGTTATGTACCTACCAACCAAATAGCTAACAACTACTTACAATGCGTTTTGAATCGATTTCCTATCTATTTTGCATTTCGATGTCGTATTAAAAATAATTCGATTCGTTTATGTTTTTACGAAAATCTAGAAAAACAACTCTCTAGTATCTGCTGGCTATTAGAATAATATGTATGTATTATAAGTACCTACTATGTATATAATATATCTTAACACTTTAGTAATCACATATTATTATTCTGCTCTATTATAGATTTACAATTACTATGTACAGTTGTTACAACTTACATGGTAAATATTACATTATTTAACTTTTAGTTGAAATGTGTGTATATATATATAATATATATGTATTAACAAACATAAAATAAATATCTGTTACATTAAAAAATATATATATAATATATACATACATTATGTATACGTTGTTAACTTTATTTTTTGATGTAAATAATACTAGACGAATTTATAAATACATTGTCAAGCAAATAATTTACAGATTTTAGATGTGTTATATTAATCTCAAAAGTTAAAATCGTGAATATTGCGATTTTTTAAACAACAGTCAAATTGTTAAATATTAACTAATTACCCGAAGAAAATTATAAATTTCTATTAGTTATTAGTTTGTAAACATAATATTTAATATTTAACTGGTTCTAATTTTACAATTAAAATAACTTAAATGTTAGTATATTATTGATTGATTGTTAAATTCATGTAATAATTGATTTTTTCAAAACTGCATCAAAATTTTTTAGAAAAAGATTGAAATTGATAATAAAAATAAAAATAAACATTAGTTGCTAATTTTTAACAAAATATTTTTGAACACCCTCAATACGCTAAAGACAGTGCTACACAACAAATATATTATTTCTTAAAGTCTTTAAAAGAATAAGCAGTGGTTACTTATTAATTGTCTATCATTGCAATAGGTTGCTACATATTTCATAAAATGATATACCTTGAAATGTAATCATTCATTTTTTTTCTATAATATAGAATTATAGAATAAATAAAATAGTTTCCAAGGATAACTTATATCTTCGAAATAATTATGTTAACTGCTATTTTTTTACGTACATCTTCTGTTTAAGACAATTCAACGTTTGAAAACATCCAGGGAAATTAAGATCATCAGAGAGAAACTTAATAATAAAGTGATTAATAATATTACAATAAATTACGTGTTTTAACGAAATACAAACGGATACAAATGTTCTGTTCAGTGTATATTTCATTGATTTTGTATCGACTCAGATCACTATAGTTCATTATGTCTCATTAAATGTCCTATTGTAACTCCACCGGCTATTAATTCAGTCGAGCCTTACATTTAATATAATACATTAACATTTAAAACGATTATAAGCTAAGTATAAAAGTGATGGTAGTTGGTACGTTGTATAAGCACCAATCTAACCATACCAATCATTATTTTTTATTCTAAATAATTGTTTAAATAAATTATAACTACCTACTAATTTTATACTAAATTTATTGTAAACGTACTTAATAGTTAATACCTCTATCATATTAGGTTATCATGATTTGAATTAATATTATGTTAGGTAATACATAATATCAACATTGCGATGACTTGTGTTATAAATTAATTATTTATGAAAAAATTCAGTAAATTAAAACGTATGACTGAATCCTACCTTTTTTATTTTTTCATAAACTTGAGATTTGACCGGGTCGATAAATAACTTTATTCAAAACAAAACACTTTGGCAGAATCGATAATCCTCTTATACACGATACCTAGCTGTTATCATAGTATAGAATGTTCGGATTATAATAAATAGCTGGTATAGGCGGTATAATATATTATACGTGCGCGTATTAGAGGTTTAAAACCGAAACGGGTTTATTGTCGATAACAAGGAATATTATAAATTATAATATTTTATCGGTAAATAATATTATAATTTATATAATACGTATTCGCGACGACGAAAAACTATCAGAGCAGGTGTGAAATACAATATAATATATCCACGTAGCTAGATTACGTATTATAGACACGTTCTGACACGTTCTGACACGAACTGTGCTTGACGGACCAGCGCATAATGGCAACCTTTCGACAAAGAAACACCTCGTTAAAATCACGTTTCACGGGCGCCGATCAACAGCGTTTTGTCGAGTTTATGGTTTTTGTAAAATCAAATTGCTTAGGGTAAAAAATAATATTAAAATGGCATAAAACAAGAATGTTCACATCGATTTTCAGATGAAATTTATTAAGTGTGTTGTATAATTCGGATCCTCTAGTTTCGTCAAAAATATAGTTAGATATCTCGAACACTACCTACGTTTATTTATTTACGATTCATACAGCATCGATTCGATTGATTGATTGACGGATTTTTCATGTCGTCATCGCGTTTGAATACGTATATAACTTTTAGGCGGTGTAATTTTTAATTTTTAATTTTTTTTTTGATTTACGCAATCGTCATTGTTTCGTAGATGGTATGATTGTTATTATTCAATTTACTCATATACAACGCATATATTTTAATTGTTCCTATTACGACTCATTTTTAATTTTCCGTAATCATATTATGCTTATTATTGGCACAAAACATATTCCGTAGGTTGTAAGTTCGTTAGTTCGTTACCTATCTCATAACACCTGCAGTTAGTCAAAGTATTCGACGCAGTTAATAACACCCGACCATAGATGGATGCATGCAATTCCAAAAACTGTATTGATGAATAATTAGTTGTTCTCTGCAAAAACGCGCACATTTCACTCCAACCAGTGGACGTGGCCCCGAGGGGAGTTTTTGAACACGCAATAAAATCATAAGACTGCAAAAATGACGATAATCTGAATTTCGTAATAATAATAGTAATAATGATAATAATAATAATGTCGACAACGACGAGAATAATGATAACGAGGACGACGATGATAACAATAATAGTAGTAATAATAATAATAATAACAGCATTATCATATCGATAGTGTTGGCGAGGACTGATCAGGTCTTTCTCTTTACACTCGCCTCGATCCGTACGTCCAGCGTGTTGATCGGACCGGCGGTGGTCACACCGGACGAGTTTGGGTCTTCGGATCGTCTGACCTGCGGGAAACGAGACCGTAACAGTGGTACGTCGACTGCACACTCCTCGGGTATGGCCAGTGTGACGTAAGACTTGGACAGCGATGGCGGAGGCGTGGGCGGCGGAACGGCCAGCGCATTCGGATTGGGCGTTGTCGGTACGGTCAACAGAACTGCGTTGGCAGAGCTGTTCTTCGCCACTGCCGCCGCTGGTTCTCCACGGGCCGGGTACCCGCTTCCGCTTCCGGTCGCCTTACCGCCGGCAATCGCCTCCGAGACGCACCTCGCTTGCAGCTGCACTTGGTTCGCCGATGACTGCCAGTCCGTACACTGTTGCAATTGATGCAGCTGTTGCATTTGTTGCTGCTGTTGTTGCTTGCGTTGACCGGCGGCGTCCTGTTGGTCCGTTGCCGTTCGTTGCGAACTGGAACTTCGGACACTGTCCCTCCGAGTGACCTATGTGTGAATAAAAAACAATACGCTATAATATTATTGTCGGGTGAACGTCCGATATTTTTGATCAAGTTACATCACTTCGGTGCTGTGTGCCCAAAGATGACTTCCGGTTCTTAGATTCGAAATGAGGAATCATGAAAGTGGGCATGAGCGCTGGTGGGACGAGCATATTCGACTCCTGGACGGTCTGACGTCTTCTCTGCGATGGTACGATAGTCGGTTCCGTCATCCTACCACTCCAAGAATTGAATGAAAACCGTCGTCCTTGACCTGTCAACAAAACACAAAATAAAAATGTGGCACAAAAGTTGATAGAAAAAATTTGGTAAAAATAAATAGTTGTTGTCTTAAGAGACCCCGTGCATCACTAAACTTTATTATGCAGATCACTTTTTTTTTCATGGCGCGCGCTATATTATATTAGAATACATTTTGATGATTTACTTTGGTATAGTGGTGAAGGTGGCAAACTTTTAAAAGTAAAGTCTGCGGGTAGTGAAAACTCTTTGCATAGGGGATTTTGTATCGAGTACTCATGGTCAAGGGCCATTTGAACCAATTGTTCTTCTTCTTCCGCAGCCATTTCTCTCTCCAATTGATCTTCCATATCCATCTCGTCTTCCATCTGCGAACAATGAAAAATCACAAATTTTATTATTTTGGGAAATTTTTTCTCGATCACATGTGAGAGATACTTAAGATTTTAAAATTGTATAATTTATAATATACTGTAGACCCATGGTAATTTAAAATAATTTGTAAAACGGCGTATCGTATAGGCAAAATAGCTACATTGCTGCGCTGAAGAACATATTTTAAAAATAGGTATTATAATTCAATTGACTTCTGAGTTTTAAACTATCTTCGAATTTATTGCAATGGCTACGTGCAAATGTTATGTGATATTAATTAATTATGTCTAATATTGGAAAAAAAATTGATTTGTGAATGGCACATAAATATCCACGATAAATAAAAGATAAATAGCTTAATATAAAAATATACAAATATATATTTTTTAAATGGAATTGTGATGTAGTGTCACATAGACACTCCCTTCAAACAAGATGTCCATTCTTGTAATTTATCCACCATATTGCCTAATATACCGTGTGTTCACCAATTTAGGGAATAACTTAATTTATCGGTCGGATTATGTTGGAATAAATTGAATTTTTTTACAAACTAGTGGTATTATATAAATACACATTTTCAGATAAATTTAAAATTTTTAACCCTCTCGGTAAGCGTAAGTGCAATGCTAATTACATTTTATTTAATGGCAACCAGTATTTTTGATACCAAATTCGGATAGACTGAATTTTTTTAAGTCATTTTGAACAATTAACCATGGTTCTAAAACCAAAATTGAATGAATGAGAGCCATTCAAATTTTACTGAATAATACATTTTTACAAGTMATTATAAAATGCATAAAGCCATTTATAATTATTTATTATTGGTTGTCTTTTGAATATTTTTAAGTATATGGTTGTAATACATTTTAATTAAATAATTTTATATCCTTACATTTTAATCTTATTTATAACACGTATATGTAAAAAAAAAATAGGTAAAAATATTCAAAAAGTAGCCAATAATAAATAATTATAAATGGTTTTATGCATTTTATAATGACTTGTAAAAATTAATTATTTATTAAAATTTGAATGGTTCTCATTCAGTCAATTTTGGTTTTAGAACCATGGTTAATTGGTCAAAATGACTTAAAAAATTTCACTCCATTCGAATTTAGTATCAAAAATACTGGTTGCTATTAAAAAAATAAATAAGTTGCATTGCATATTATGCGCGTACTGAGACGGTTAAAAATTTGAAATTTATCTGAAAATGTACATTTATTTATATACCACTAGCTTGAAAAAAAATTCGATTTATTCCAACATAATCCGGCCGAGAAATTAAGTGTTCCCTAAATTGGTGAACACACTGTATAAATTCAATACAGATTGTATGTACATAATTCTTATTTTTTTTTTTATAAAATAAAAAAATGCATATTTTCCCATTGTATTATATAAATCCACTGCACTTATCATTCCAAAAGATTGAATAACACAGTAAAAAACTACATATAACGCGATGTTATGTTTTCTGCATTTTTAAATGTAAATTATTAATCGGAAAAAGTTTTTAAAAAAGTAGGCAAATGGGTATCACTCCGCTATATAGTAGAGATGGAGAGTAGGTCACTATAATAGATGTGTTAAATTTGAATGCAATGACAGGTCACAGGTATAAAGTATAATAATTGTATACGAAAAACGATTCTGAACGGAGCTGATTTGTCAGTCTAGGATATATTATCTATATTTAAATTATAATATATTATTTATATACGCTCACGAATGTTTTCTTTATTGACTCTGGAGTATTTGTATTACAGTTATTTGAAGAAAAATTAATATAATGTAATTAGTGTTGTTACTGTTTCACAACAAACCTATGGCCTGCAAGAAAATCACGGAGATAACAATATTATTATCGCACAAAGTAAACGAACAATATAATGTTTTGCCCAGCCGGAACAAATCAAATCAAATTATGTATTAATTTATTTTGTGGTTTTGCTGCAGTGACGAGCTTTTCTTAATACTATGTTTATATATAAAATTTAAAAGAAGGGATTTGAACAATTTAAGCGCGTTTTATTATAATATACTTTTGTGTAATAAACGAGTCATTTATTGATGGAATTACGAATATTTTATACGGAAATTTATACATAATTTATACAGAAACAATAATTCCCAAGACGTAATATGAGGCATTTTGTTTGTTTCTCTAAATTAAAAAGAAGTTACAAGGAGTATACATAAATATAATCTTAATTATTATGTAAGTAATAACTAATAAAGTTACTGCTTCACTCAAAACCAATTCCTGCGATAACAGCTCGGAGATGATAATAATAATGCTATCGTGATAAATTAACTATAATACTCGTAATTCATACAATTYTGACGCGGAACCAATCAATTTAAATTTATTTGGTGTTTTACTTCGGTGACTTCGAGTTTCTCACAATATCATGTTTTCACGTATATAGGTTTTGATTGTTTTGAAGCCTAGAGGACGAGGTTTTTGAGAGATTTTCTCGCGTTTCATTCGAATATCCAGAGTGTAATAAACTCTACTTCCGGGGTGCTGCCAATGGGTGTCTTTCCCTCTCCTGTCCTATTTATTTTTGTTTCCATTTTATCTCACTTGTTGTACTACTATGAATATATATTGCAAATAAACCTTCTTTAATAATAATAATAATAATAATAATAAAAAAAAATACATACAATTTACATATATTTATTGATGTAACCAACGTTTTACTCAGGTACCTGTTTAATATATTTTTTACGAATCAAACATTTTATTTCGTTTATATTATTATTGTTACTATACACAATATTTGTTATTTGAACTGAATACCTGCGCACAGTAACGCATTATTGTAATATATTTTATATCATTTCTCGGCATACGTGGGATGTATATACGGATAAACGATTTTTACGGAGATTATTCAAGAATGCACATACAAATTGAAACAGCCGTAATTCGAATTTTATTAGATCGAAAGTTTTATCTAAATTGCATATTATATATAAACCCAAACAACACACATAATTTAATATGGACATCTCGAACAAAAAATATATTTCACTGTAGCTATTAAAATATATAGTCAAAGTTTATCACGATGGAAAACAATGCGTAATAATATATTATATTATAATCAAACGCTTTTATGACGGTAGAAAAAGTTGTGATGAATAATCTCAATTATCATTATCATAACAATAATAATGATATGATTTATTTAACCTAATCGATTAATTGATACTCCCGAGAGATAAAAGTTTTGTTTTTAATGCATAAATTGTATATTTAAACTAATTTGAGTTATTTATTACATAAATACATACACACACACATTTATATATATATACTAGGATGCACGTATTACTATACGCAAGCATTTATATATAACGGTGATATATTAATAAATTGATATATATATATATATATATATATATATTTGTAGTTTTATGATTTGATGAGATCCTATAAAATATGTAAAAACCGTTTGTATAACCTTTTTATATTACATTGTAGAAAATAACTTTGACCGTCATCGGATTTTTTCATCTGAATTTCTTTTACAGTTTTAGCACGTAGAAAAGCGTATTTTTGAGTACGTAAGCTACAATTCGGGGATAAGTAGACTCGAAAAATATGAAATGGAAAACACAAATAATAACAATAGTAATAATTCATAATAATAGTTGTCATATTTGTTAATTTACAATAAACAATAATTATTATGCATAACGCTATGGTAAATAATATGATGGTTAAATAATTTAAATAACCGAATGCTGGTATAAAAGAATTTTATCGACAAAAGTTAATGAATATAATACTTTATTATATATTACGAAAATGTGTTGGGTTTTCTATTCATATTATTGTAATAGGTTCCCTAGCTGATCATAATTTTTAATACATTTTCGTATCCTTCAAACTGTGGTAGAACATTTTTTTGTTTTCAAAACCAAAACATTTGACTTATAAAATGAGTGTAGCACTAAAACTAGTTAAAAATAAATCATCCAATCGTATATTTTATACTACGCTAGTCGTTTTGTCAAACAATATACGTTACGTGCATATAAATATATAATATATATATTCTATGTTTATATATAAACTTCATATACCATATTTTACACMTAGTACTGCTTAATGTATAAAATACTGTGAAAAAGCGTTTGAAGTTTACGAAAAGGAAGATGAATATAATATAATGTATCGAAGGACTGAGTACCGTTAAAAGAGAAAATGGCAATAACTACAACTAAAACGTGTTTGAAAGTAGCAGGTTGCAACCAATAAGTAAGTTAAAATAAATCTTTGATTTACACGTTTTAGAATTTATGCATGACAATAATATATACTCACATTATTTATGTTAAATATGTTATGTTTTATTCACTTATATATATAATTCTTTTTTAATTTATACAACCTTATTTTTCGATAAACTATATGTTGAATATTGTACAAGACCATTATAATAATTAACTGGGTTTTCTACTTATTTTTCTTCTTTAACTAAGTAATTTGTATAATTTAATAATAATAATAATTATTTAGGTAATTAACCCATTTATAAAAAAATGTTATATAGTTTTAAATAATTGTGTTGTAATGATATAAATATGAAATCGTTCATAACAATTTTATAGATTTAGAACTGATAGTAGTTGTTATTAAGAGGTATTAACGGTATTAAGAGTTTAATATTGTACAGAACAAAAAAAATCTATATCTATATAACATTACCCATGAGCAATGAGCATCATAGCACAGATTATATAAAAC